TCCCTCCAGCTAACATGAAACTACATGGCCAGTCGAATGGTTTAAAGTAAAGAAGGATCCCATTACATGTATTGTGTTGTTTTTTTAAATGACCTCCGACTAAACCGAGACAACTTCCAATGCTTACTGTTTTTGAAGACAGTGCTCAATAAATTTGTGTCATCAGTCATCTTCAAAATTTCTTCCTTCAAGTTGACGTGTCGTCCGCTACAGGGGGGAACTCGCCTGAAGCCAAGAAGTCTTCAAAGCGAGAAAGAAATCCAATAATTAATAGTTATTACATCATAGAAAGAGCGAGGTGATTGAAATGCCTTGACAAAATCAAGGGAATTATATAGTTTACGATTCTCCTGTCTGACATTCACCAAAAAAATACTAAATTAAATCAAGGAACCATCCAAAAACAATGTGCTCTCCAACTTCGGTTTCGAAAACAATGCGGTCTCCAAGTTGGCATAAAGTAAGATACCTTCTCATGTTCAACAATATACATACCCTCTAAACATTTCAGTAATTTACAGCAATGACGGAAAGGGCTTACCTGTCAAGGTGAAATGATGCTATCTCCGCGTTATGCCTCTCTGGGTCCAACCAGAACGGCTCTTCGTGATCGTATTTGTACACATAATCTCTCGGTAACCTATTAAAAGCAATTCTTTGTCTTGAAAGACGGCAAATTTCCCAGTGAATGCGGCACATTCGGGTTAATCTCTCATCCTTGTTTTTGTAAAGTACAAGTCAATAACACCGAGAGTGTAACCAGATGTTGTCTGTGACACCAACTGTTTGTCGTTCATTTTAAAATGTGCACTAAACAAAGCTTCAAATTTTTCAAATGAACATTAACCAAATCGATGCTGAGAAACAGACATGGTCATCAGCATTCACACAAACTACTTATGTTTATGTTAACCCTTTTCATGAAATCTTTACTGCATGCAACAAGAAATCTCTGATAACACTGCATGGTAACGCTGACATAAAGTTTACCTCATAGGCTTGGCAATGACCCTATTTCCGTCAGCAAGTCTCAAGTCTAGCTTGAGCTGGGTCCCACCAGAAAACTGCGACGCATTGACGATCTTGACGGTAGCAAGGTCGCGGAGGAGGTCATCCATGTACTGCGCGTCTTCGCTGTACAAGGCATCCTGGTTGATATCACGGCAAAACTGTTGCCATGGGTGACCAGCACTTAGCGCAAGGCGGATAATAAAGAGAGGCAAATTTTATAACTCATGTGAGTTCTGTGGTTAACAGAATACCGCACCTTAGCCTGATTGCATCTGATCATGATCCACCCCACCAGCCAAACATCTCCCGATGTTAATCATATAAACTGCTCCCCCACACTTGACCACACTCAAGGCCACACCCCGACGCAAGACCAGGGACAACTACCAAAACGATTTGTCTCCTGTGGGTTAACCGAAGGCCGAACTGTTCTTAGAACAGTGTGTACCAAGGTGTTCACTTGAATAGGACAAGCAGTTTAGACAACCGCACGGAAGAGAAGGACACAGCAGAAAGGGAGGTAAAGGGGGAAGTTTTGAAACTGAGTCACTAGGACCTGATTTAATATAGGTTTTCCCGTCCAACTTTTTAAAATTGCCGCTCCAATTAACGCCAGGCTCATTCAATTTAGCGCGAAATTGATTGACGATCCAGATCAACATTCAATCAGCCAAAATAATCATTCAGTTTAACTCCATGAGCAAGCGATTGCAAATTCCTGTGAACCAGCAAAGTTTGAGTCGCTATTCAGTTTAGAAAACCCCAAGAACAGAAGTCAAATTCGCACAGTCACTCTCTGGTACTCGTAATAGGCATGCGATTTCGTGAAAAGGCAAGCATTTCTGACATCCGTGCTATGTTTTTCATCGAAGTCTAATTTACAAATTTGAAATGTTTTATGCTTGACTAATTTATTCAAATTCCATCATGAAGAAGAGGGGTTTCACTCGCAGAAAAAAATTTCTCTCAGTACACTAATATCACCTTGATGGGAGAACCTCTTGTCTATAATGTACGTATTTATTTCTTCTTAAAACGAGAAAAAGAAATGATCAAATTCTTCTTATCTGGTTAAATAATTGTTAAAACAATGACCAAATACTCAATTTTTTTCAGCAGTAATCTTGTATTTTGTATTTTTCATGCTTGAAGATTTATAAAAAGAAAGAACAAAATTGGTTTCGTGTGATCCGAAATTTTTTACTTAAAAAAAAAACAACAACACGATATTATCCCCATAAGCATTTAACAAAACAAAAGTATACAAGTATACGTTAAATGAAAAGGTTGGGGATAATAAAGATCCAGGGCAAATATCGCCAGCGATCAAGATGTCTCTGGAACTGTACATGTATCATAATTACACAGAAACTCTATCTTTTCTCCAATACTTAGGGTACGTATACTTTGAAAAGCTAACATTGCGAATATGAGTGCCCATTGACGGATATGAAATTAAAGTTTGGGTAGGAATCCACCTCCCAGTCACCCAGGGCGAAATTGAGTAACGCTTGTGCATCGTGAAATTGAATGATACTGCTACTAAACTGAATCCTTGAAAGTGCATGATTGGACGTCCACATGCAAACGAAACTGAATGCGCAAAGTTTCGAAAATCAACCATGCGAGTAACGGGCTTCGAGAAATCGCTCGAATGTAAATGCACTTTCATGAATTTGGATGCTGTTTTAACTAATTCGGCCGGGAATACCTATACTAAGCAGGATTTTCCAAACCGCGGCTATACCTCCTCGGTTGGCTTTAGTAAATCCGGTCCCTTAGCTGAGACCCTTGGGTTTAATGCAGCTGCGTTTTCAATTCAAGGAACGTCAGATATACCGGGCATAGTTGGAGAACATGTAATTTTAGTCTTTTACTCTGCCCTGAAAATCACTGTTGCAGGTATACAGGTGTGAAAAGTCGATGCCATACCCACAATACACACATGCAGTTTTTCGTGTACTTACGAACAACCACAAACACCATCGACCACCTGTTTTGTTTTGCTCTAGACTTTTCATTTACAATGACGTGCACTTGCTCAAATGACATCCAAACAAAATCCAATCAATATACTCTCAGTTTCAGTCCTCTTTTATCTGGATTGGATCAATATGCCATCACATTGGCGTTCACTTCAGGGAATGCTGTGCACAATATTGGCTGTTCTTCCCATCTGCAGAACATGAACCGTTGAACGGGGAGAACATGCATCGTGTAAAAAAACATGGAGGAAGGACACAGCGATGGCGTAATGTTTCATCTTATTGCGGTACACTTGTCTTTTGTTATCTATACAAATTCAGACAAGTGAAAGTGTTTAATTTCATCACAGCCTAGTTAAAAACATGAACGATCTCAGTTGGACTAAATGTGTAATTCTGAATAAGGGCAACTTGAAAAGATAATTATTTTCTCCTAGAAACATACAGAAAGGGAAAAGCCAGGAATGCATCTTTCCTGGCTTCAAGGGCTAAATGTGTTCTAAACACAACGTGCATGAATACATACCTGAAGATACCACAAATTAAAGTTAATCAACTTGTCTTTTACATAAATTGTTTTCATTCTCTTTGAATAGCAAGCTTGAGTGGTTTGAACGCAAACAAACAAACAAACAAACAAACAAACAAATATCAATAAATTTGCATACTGACCCGATAACTTCTTGGTCATCCCATCCTTTCTGTTGTTTGGATTTCTTCTCAGTTTCCTTCTTCGAGTTTTTAGGCCTATCTTTTGTTTCGTTGAATACATGTTTCATCCCATCGGCAAGCAAACAAGGGCCGTGAGCGTTGGTTGACTTTCCTCCATCTGACCCTGCTGGTCTGATACGGTTACCCTGGGACACTCCCCTACGGTTGTCATTACCCAACGCCCATCGACTGAGTTCCTCAGACCGTCGAAACAAGCGGAAAGCAGAGAGAAAACTCACAGCAGTCAGCACGGAAGACAAGAGAATTACTCTGCTCTTGAAGCGCATGACGAATTCTCCTGACTGCGTCAGAAAAAGCACCGGCAAAGCACCGGGGCCATGCAACGCTCGGTAAATAATGGACGATCCGAAATGCTGGCACTGTTTTAAACCATTCGATGTACCTCATGTAATGGTGCTAAATCATTTGAACGAAGTAATCTAAGAAATGTTGTCGATGAAGCTGAAGATATGCAGGGAGGACTAACGTCGAATATCTTCTAAAGTGATTCTGCCTGCGGGCTCTGGGCTGCGGAAAGACGCGCGGTCTGTTGATCTGGGCGTCTGTTTTTGAGTGTTTGTTAATCAGCAGCAGAAACAGCTCGTTGAAGTCTTTTTTAATGACAGACTTCACTAACCTCAATGACTATGCTGGGGCGAGTCCAGGTTTGGCTCTGGATCGAAGGTATTTACCCACCTTTTGATCTTTTATTTCTCAACAGCCTTAATAAGTAACCACCCACATTGGCAAATGGAATGGTATTGCACAACAGACGTCTTCAGCGTGCGCCGTCTCCAAAATTCTGACCACTTCCAAGGATAAACCCCATAAACCCCCCCCCCGTAGATCTGCCCATGAGATGATATAAATTCTCAAGTTCACAACCATTACAGCCTTGCACGAGGCGAGGCTGACTTCATCAGACATACGTTTCGCACATTGCATCGTGAAAATTTCCTAAAACTATACTTTTTAGTTTATCGATTGTAACTGCAAGGTTGTAGGCCTGTATAATACGAAAACACCATCAGCTACTGGTACTAGAGAACCCAACAGCATTAGAGAAACAAGAAAGCGAAAGGGAGCCGGTGGGCAATATGAAAAGGAAACAAGAATCATATTTCAACAATGTAAAAAGGTTGGTCAACTTTTGGGTTGATATTTTGTCCAATGTTGGTGTAAATACCAACTTTCTAACCTTGGGTAAATTCGTCCTAATCGTTGGTCAACGTTTGACCAACAGTGATGGAAATTTAACCAACAATGTGGTAACTTTAAGGTTTGGAAAATAACAAATGCCCAACACTGTTTAACTAATTTTTTACATGCAGTGAACGACTGAAAATCCACTATGGTTGATTGCGTGTTTCTGAAAGGATAACTATCCGCACGATTCAACTAAAACACTGGCAAATAACCCGTTATGTATGTTGCATTCCGCTGAAATATCCGTGTCTTTCTGATATCTACCATCACATTTTCTGCCTTGAGCTGAAGTGCACCCTCAACTACTAAGTTCTGTGTTTTGTGCTAGGATGGTGTAGACAAAGTGCCGGGCATGGCAGAGGCCGGTTCACGGTATACCTTGTGATTGGTTTTAAAAAGTTGCCTAAATTATATAGCGCCCTCTTTGACATGATCTAACGGTTAGTGGGAAAAGATGGCGTTCGCTGGGCGGCAATTTCAATCTTTGCGGCGTTCTTTCCGTCGGAGTATTAGAAAGAGAACGTATAACTTCGATGACCCTATTACTAATATCTCAAAGAAAAGAAGGAGCGAAGGGGATGAAAATGTAGAGCTTCAGTGCTACAGTTGTGAGGTTAGTTTCACTCAGGTGGGCAAACCTACATAACTTCATGTACATATACCATAGGACTACATGGATACGGCTCTATTTCCGACATCGGCCTATTTGTTCCCATCGTATCCATACATGGCAAGTTTATTGGTGTCGGTCTAGCTCTACTGAGTGGAGCGTTAGTATTCCCCTTTTTCGATTTTGGACGGGATCGTCATACTAACACTCCACGCCATTACATATAGTAAGGTTGAAATGGTTCTCAAAAATTCCAAAGACTCACCAAAAATACCTCTATCTAAAAAAAAAGGCAGCGAAAAGTTCAAGTGTCATGCGTGTGTCGAATGAAAACTGTCAGATTTTGGCAGATTTTGAAGTCGGAAATATCATTTAAGCCCCCAAAATATTCCTTTGGCATTTATGAAAGCCAGTAGGTGGTGAAAAAGGTATTTTTAGTGAACAATGCAGCTCATATGTTTTTTATATATGCCTCTTAGTCTTACATCCATCAGTTGACCAAAGTTGAAGTAGATGAAAAAGACAGTTAAAAACTGCAATCACTATATAACCGCTTCATTGACTCCCATTTACTCTAAAGTTGGTTTCGGAGGATGCAGACTAAGAAACATGCCGTCTGTTTAGTAATGAGCCGCTGAACTGTTCGTTACTGTTACCATGCAAAGAAAGTTTGGGTCAGACTGGAGTTGATGCGGTGCCGCAGCTTTTTTTTTTCCTCCAGAGTTGGATTGTACTGACAATTGCAAACCCCATGTTATCGAGTCAGGGGACTAGACTAGCTTTATTACAATTATAAGCTGACAACAAAACAACTTTGTATCCATAGTCTGCTATCATTATTCAAAATCGATCTCGTTGGGATTAATCGCCCTGAGTAAAAGATCGAGCTGTCCGCAAAATTGTTAAGGCTGTGCGGCAGTAGAGGGTGCTATTGCCGCTCTCACAGAGATAAAAAATGCATGCTTGAAATCGACGCGAGCACTTACCAGAGACGAAAGACTTTTTTTGGCCTTAATTCACCATGGACTACGTACAGTAGTCAACAGATAGTGAATGCTATAGAGTTTTCTATGTATAACTCTGTGCTGTTCTGGGAATGTCTTTCTCCGCACTTGGAGAGGCTTGTAACACACTCGAGCATGGATGAGGCAAAGTGGTGGTGGGGTGAAGTGGTGGCGAGGTGAAGTGGTGGAGAGGTGAAGTGGGGATGGGACGACGTTAGGAATGACGTGGTTGGGGGTGAAGTGACTGTAAAGCATTTATTAGGGGCCTACCACTACCTAAATACAACATGTTTGAAAACAGGTTGATTGTTGTAAATAATCTGGAGAATGGAACAAGGTATTAATTGCAACTCGGTGAGCAACACTATGAACTTGTGTAGGCCCTTGTACCTTCATCATTACAGGTACCCCTAGAACTCTCAGTCTCCTCGTCTGTTGGGCTTGTGAGAGGAGCATGGCAGACAACAAACCCCAGAATTCTAGGAGTACATCATAGGGTCTTAATCAAAGCTGTCAAGTGTCAATATGCCATCAAAATGTAGAGTGCCATTACTTTGGTCCCTTAAATGCACCACATATGTATAAACATTCGTTGATGTTAATGTAGACCCTTATATTATCAGTTTTCTGATTCTTAATCTTGTATTGAGGTGATTGAAAAGTACATGATGTTGGAATAAATGTTCAGAATGTATAACTGACAGATGTATGTACTAATAATAGCCAAAAAAGAATTTTAATCAGTTTGAAATAAATTATTAGGAATATTTTTCTTGCTGCCCTGCCATTGGCCAGCATTGTGCTATAATCCTTTCAGTGCCTGAACTTCTCTCGCATATGTTTGTTAAAATGTTCCAAGATATTTTTCAAAACCTAAGTTATAATGTGGAAATGTTCAAACTCAACCCAAGGTCCATGTAAACCATAACCAAATACTTTTTTCAGCACTTAATATTTTTCTGTGGACTTTTTAATAAACCACTTTCTTGTGGTGGTGGGTGTGCAGTTCAACAGCACCCTCTAGTGTTGGCAAATAGTAATGTTATGCAGCACACAAAGAATTGCTGAAGTCACAAAACCAGTTAAAGTTCTAGACTTCCAATGAATGTCTTAGAGTGTTCATGTAAACCCTGCAGAACTGAGCTGAATCCAGCAAAATGATCACTATCCACCTCTTCATGTTTAGCATTCACTCACAGTCTGGCTTTTACTGTTAATTGCACAGTAATGTGGACTTCAAATAAGAATTTGTTTTTGCAAATTTCTTTCATACGAGTTGAGCCATTGCTAACAAAAAAGCCATTATGCATGCACTCAAAGTGTAAATTACATTTAATGTACATGTGTCAACAAGGAGTTATTTGCACTTCATTTTCTCTCATTCCACATTAGATTAGTGTAAAGCCCCTTGCCGTGTACTATTTACGAACATGGAATAATCATGCAGGAAGGAATTGGAATAATGTACCGGTGCTTCTTCATACCAGAATAGATAAATTCATTAGCTACATGTATTTAGGGCTAGAAATTATGCATATTTTGCTCAAAGCTCGTTTTGATTGTAAACACCCTGTACAAACACTTCATTAAAAAATACTTCGAGTCCCAGACCCAATTTATGAGGGAAAAAAATGCCAAGCAAGGAACAAAATCCTCCCCAAGCCAATTGGCTCCAGCCTTTTCTCTTCAGGGGGTTGATTCTATCAAAGCTTCATAGGCCACCACCAGTTACCTCCAATCAGGTTGGTCCTGTCCAATCAAATTTGCAGTCTGTCTAGGGCCAGGAAACCAAGAAATCCTCAGAGTCTAGGTCCCCATCTTGTCTTGTGGCCCTGCTGGCTTGGTTGGCTGGGCTTGATGGGCCCCCTGCCAAGCCGGACTGGCTTGGAGCATTAGAGCAAGGGGCTTTAGCATGTATCAGGTTTTGTCTGCTCATATTTGGTACCTAGGGGTTTTACTCTCTTTTTTTGTGATGGCACTGCCATTCTACACTGAACTTCGGTCTCTGTACGTAGCTCCTTACAGCATGGCTCATACATCACAAGCTGCAGTTGTGAATCTTTGAAAATGTAAGTACATTAACTGGGACCTGCAGATATCTGGAAACTTGTGAAATTAATTCAGTTCCATGAAATACCTTTTTGTGTTTCTGTTGAAAGCATCAGTCTTTAAATGCTTGTGAGTCTCCAAAGTCCAAACAAAGACTCTTAGATTAAGGACTTAAACACAAATAGAACTCTGAAATATTAGGCTGCAGAGGGAGTAACTGTAGAGATAGGATTCTGGATCCTTGATGGATGCTGTGGTATCAGTAATCCTCGTAAAATGTAAGAAAATACAATCTTCTTACTGTTGAGAAGAAGCTGACTTTCATGTAAATGCCCTTTTGTTAGCTAGTACATGTTCTTTGTTGCACCTGTTGCAAAAGTAGAAAGCTTGATTGTAACACTAGACTTGACACTTGTGTGCATAGGGTACAACCTACTCTCATGACTGTTATCGATGGTGTAGTTATTCTGACATTCTGGTGTTAACTTGTGTATCCAATGGCAATGAATTGGAAGTCTACATTTCCTGTCCACACATACTGTGCATGTATGTCATTGGACTCCTCCTTGATTGAATCCATCCTGGAGATTTGCAGTTCCTGTAAGCGACACAGATCACGATGTAAACACTCATCATTTTGTGTCGTATGTAAGCTTTCAAGTTTCAGGGGACATGCCAATAGTGTTCTATCGGTCAAGTCTTTGAGACAACGTTCCACCTATAAATTTACACTACACACCGCGCACCCAGGCAGACCTGCAATCTATACCTGATTTCGTAGACTCAAAACTTGCAGTTCTGAGATTACCAAAGAGAAGCAGTTGATTTTCAGTGAAATCAATATCAGAATGCTTGATTTATTCTTTCTTGTGTAAATGAAAAAAAAATTAATAAATAAACTACAAATCCTCATGACCAATAGTCCTTTAATTTGGGTTTGATACTGCCATAAAATTAAAAAGATCATATCATAACTTGGAACAAGCCGCTCATTTTTTTTTTTTTTGCTTCCTCATTACAGTTCCAAATAAATAACGTGAATATTATCCAACATAATTCATCAGGATGCATTTGAGCTCTTTGTTTCTTGCACACATTGATTCTGCAGAAAGCATACAAATCTTGCCAACGTCCCTGTTATTGAGGTTATCTTGGTGCGAGATTTTTATCCTTCAAAGGAGTTGAAGATGTGTACCATTTTTTTAAGCAATTGCATGGTTTGTCTGTTGTATTGACATCTGGTATAGAAACCATATGTATCTGCACATTATGCTGACTGCACGCTTGTTTGCTTGTTACATGTAGGTTTCTCAAGCCCATTAGACTATCCACTTTGAGAAACCTTGCATTTAACCCTCATTACTTTTTCTCGTACGTGGACATACATGTACATGTACACGGACATGACTGGAGCCACTCTGTACCCCTCTCAGAGGTAATCAACAAGAAAGACCTCTGAGAGGAAAGGGCCACCCCAGGACTTTTAATCTATATCCCCTCATGATATGTTATGAGGGAGCAAGGTCAAAGCCTGGCCTGTGTCTTGGCTTATGACCTGTGCATATAGGATAAGTTCACGTAAACCAGCAGGTGCACTGTCCCAGCACACACATGTACATGTCCATGTACTAGGCCAGTACATGTACCAAGTGCGTGCTAATGGTCAACATGTTCTTGTTGAATCAACCTTTCTCAGAACCCTAAATATTTTCCTAAATTAAAATGCGGAGTCATTTTTTTAAGTCTGTGATTGAAACCTTTGGCCATATGTTCTTCCTTCACCAATTTTTCTCTTAACCATTTACATGTAAGCTTGGGTTAGTAAAAGTTAAAGGACAGTAACAGTTAATGTAGGCCTGTATTGACTGGGTTGTAAAAAGTCATTTCCTTGGTACAGTTGACCTAAAGAAATACATGCACAGTGTCTCCATTTTGTCAGTGAGAAAAACAAATGGGTAAATCAAGATCTTAATAATTATTTACCAAAAATTGTAATACTTGTGTGTAGTTCCAATGTTGTTCTTACTTTCTATGACTTATTTCCATTCACTTTACGTTTTAATTACCTGTAGTGTGGAGAAATGTCTTTCTTCAGAAGTAACAATTTAACCTGAACCCAGAAATTGGCATCATGTTACTATTTTTTTTTGTTTTATATTTTGTGTGGTCACCAAAATACACTGTAGGACAAAGATTGTAAGCATCACAGGTAACAAACAAGTGCAGGAAGCAAGCTTCGTTCCCACTGGAGTAACCAAAATCCAACTGTTCATATCATTTTCACTCTTTTGCGGTCAATACTCTGGATATAAAATGAAGATCCAGTGCCTTACCATGAAAAATAGAGCTAGAATTTCCTGACTGGAAATGAATGCTCAGCTTCGTGGTTTTAAGTTACAGGGCGCGCTTCCCTTGCCCATCAACCTGACTAGATTTTTTCTTTTCCTCAACCATGCTGGATTTAATTCTAAGTATACCCAGGGGAAGTTGCAAATCAAGCGTTTCTTTACAGCACAAATCAGCGAGCAGTCTTGGAATTTTTCTTGTTGAGGGTTCTGCTGACCAACCCCTTTTCTAAGTAGTTAGTGGCATCAGTTGACTCACTGTATTATTTTTAGACCAAGCAGAGATCAGTGTATACACCCAAGTTGTGTTGGGTTTATGAAAATCTTTCTTGCCGCCTTTGTGCCCTTTGTAAAATATTGGATAAACCAGATTTTGAACGAAAATACCGGTAAGATTGGGGTTTAACCAAAAGCAATTGTAAGTGGCTAGTCAATCACCATGTTTTCCCAGAAAATCCAGTGCCCTTTTTATTTGGAAGCAGCAGCCCCATAATTCTCCCTGAAAATGATAAACAGTCCTGTTAGTTACACTAGACCAAATTTGGCAGTTTCCCCTGAAAACCAAGTTGTTCAACTTCTGTCTAATTCTTTCCCCACGAGACTGTGTCATTGCACTGCAGATGTGATGTCCAGACGAGTGTTCAGCCGAGAAGTGTTCTCAGCTGTGCTTGAGATACAATTTCGGGAACTTAAATTTGGCAATGTGCCACTTGCTGTCCAGTCATAAAAACATTTGTTGACACACCCAGACAATTTGCCAGTAGAAATGCAGTGACCAGATGTAGACAATTAAACATGTTACTCACTCCACCCCTTGGCACAGTGCGGTCATGTTGTGGCAATTGCAACAAAAGCCTTCTCAATTACTATGTGCTGAGTGTGCACTGACGTACATGTACATGTAAACCTCTGAAGATCCACTAAAATTGAGAAATTATCCCTGATGAAGTTATTCCTTCCTGTAGCCCATCGATCTATCAACCAAGCTCTGCAGGCCGATTAAACAGTAATTTCCTGCCCATGAAGGAATATGACTCTTCATCTGTAAGGAAAAGACATTTTCAGGCTTGGGTAGGCAGGGTTAGAATTAGACTTGGCCTAGTCCTCACCCAGCCTGTGTTTCTCTCCCCTTGCTGGATATATTTTGTACCAGTCCTTCTTAGTTTTGGCGTACCCAGTACGTAATAAAATGTATTGAGTTAATGCAGTGTATCTACAGTTAACACAAAATTTTAGCCAGAATAGTGGTGTAGTGTTGTGTAGCTGAAACATACAGGTGGATTTCCATTATTTAGCCAGTGTAAGTAAAACGTTTGGGCATCAATTAGCAAGTCTAAGAGTTGTTCACTGTCAGGCCAGTGCACGCAGGAAGGACAAATTCACCGTTCCAGAAGCCAGCAGCTTATCTGGGTCCTACTACTTGGGATGTTTGTACATGAGAACGCTCATTTCCAGCCAGCCTTTCGTTTGTAGTCACCCGAGCCCTCACTAGCCATGCACTCTCAGTACCTTGCCATAAGGTTCAGTGATTCACAAGTGTTTCGTGACTTCAAAAGTTTTGCTTTTGTTGCGGTTTGACATTTCTGTCGAGTTTTTGTTGGAAAGAACTGAACTAGGCCTACTGTCTTCACAGAGAATTTTCAATAACGCTTAGAAAGTTAGGGATGTTTGTGAATTGAATTTTGGCAGTTTCTAGAGGATGTACTGCTTCAACGCTGTGGTTGTAGAATCACCCATCCATGTGGCCATCGCATTGAAATCCGCTTTCATGAAATGTATGCTTCACAGTTGAGTGGGTTTCCTTCAACTGAGTTCTCCACATCACCGAATGAGATGAATTGTGTCAGATGAAAACCTCTCGTTGTGTGACACTTAAACCTTCACCATAACTGAACTTTCTTGGGAATTTATTTTTTCAGCTGCACATTCAAACTACCAATCAAGCTGCAAAGTGCAGAGTATTCTGTCGATCAGTGGCATCTGCTTTTCTCATCCATCAATTGCATCATCATTTTGTCTCCCCCCTTTTCCTCTCTTTTTCTCTCTGCGTTTGCTCACGCTTGGCTTTTGCCAGGAGCCTCCATCTTCACCAATGCGTCTGTGGTCGGGAAGCAAGAATATGGACAATACCACGGATATAGTGGAGGACCTGGATATCTTCTATGTCCGACAGCTTGCCATCAGCTTGCAGGTAGGGGAAAAAACCAACGCCTACATGTAGCTTGCAGTGCAAATGCCTTATCTGTCCCATCTTTCCTTGCTTGCTTTGCTTGAAGACTTCTCAGAAAGAAAGAGTTCACTGGCAAAACTCTTTTTCATCTTAAGACTAATTCTTTATTCAAATTTTCCAAAAAGTGACATTTTATGTGTCCACAGTCACTTTTTACATTTCAAAAGGGCAGGTAGAAATGACCTTTGTTTCAGATGGAGTTTCTATCCCTCATATTAAAAAAGTGGGTTTTCTCCTATAAAGTAAAAGAATGAAAATCTGGTCTTTTTTTAGTTACATGTACTTCATAAGAACCAAGGGCATTGTTTGCGACCATTGCCTCCATCTTGTCACTGGTGTGATCTTGATCAAGTTGATGCTTCTGTTCTGATGCTGTATTAGAAACTCCCTTCTCTTTCTTCTGCATAACCTCACACGAGCTAAACCTGATAGTTGAATTCGCAGGAACTACAAACGTAGGGCTATCCTTCATCAGCTTTGGCCATAGCATAGTTGCTAATAAACGCAGCCTGCCAATTTGCAGCCTGGCCAATAATTAAGTTTCCAAACTACTGCTGGACCAGTTTTTGAAAATTCTGTGTATTAGCCTAATTAATCCTCAAGATTGAAATGTTTCCAAGGGGATGTGGTTTTGAAGTTGTCCAAACAAACAGTCTCTTTGTTTAGTGTTGTGTGACATCATGAAGGTTTATTCCTGTGTGCCCACCATTTGCAGTCAACCAAATCTCGTGACTAATGTACCCGTAGTCCAAGGCCATCATTGTAATGTACATGTGTATTTAGTATGAGTCTATGACCGCCAACACTGCAATTCATTACAATGTTACTCAGAATTTAGGGTAGGGAAAAACTTCCATGAAAACTACTAGTTCCACATGTACTCATACTTCATATTGTTTCTGTACTTCCGTGATAGCTTTAGGACTACTTGTTAGAAGTGCAACCCCCACACTTTGTTCCCCAAATGCACCCAACTTTGATGTTATGTTTTTACTTCCAAAACGTAGATCAGCACGCTTAATGCTGAAGCCAGCTATAGTGTCTGTAGTCTACCTTTTTAAAGTAGGAGATTTCCACTGTGTTCCATCATTTTAACACCAACATGCTAGAGGAAGTACTTTTCCAGTCTTTGAAAAAAAAGAAGGTTTTCCGTGTAGTTAATTCACACACAAAAATCCCACATGCATATTATTATGGCTATTAATAGCCACCCCCACAACTTCAATGTGGCAATTACTTGTGGTTTTTTTTTTTAACGCACCGAAGGTCATGGAATAAAGTGTTAATTGTTCTCAGCTTTATTACTGTGTGTTATTATGCAGGGGTACGCATACTCTGGGTTACAGTGAGCTCACTTGATTCAGAGAAGGGCTGTTTAAACGCATCGCGTGCATGGATGCACCTGTGTGCACTCAATTGAAATTCCAACTAGAGTTCCTTTTTTTGCACATCTGGAAAAGGCAGTAACCGGAAAAACCATCATAATTTTCCTTGAGCTCTGTCAGTGTCAGTGCATTTCCATTTTTTTGTGAACTCCAAGAAAATAAAGTCTCAGAAGTCCTTTGATTGGATGTTACTCTTTTCCCTGCTGTTTCCATCTTGGATATTGATATATAGATACACCCAGCTTACATGATTGGCCAGTGATGAATTTGATTTGGGTCTAGAGTACCCCAGCGATATTCTTTTGGGGGCAATTAAGGTACCGTTAGTCTGCACCAATTTGTCAGGTGAAATAGAGTTGGCTCCTTGGTCTTACCTCACTGGCTGACTGGACAGATTTACTGGCAATAAAAGTTGATCCACTAGGAAAGGTTTTCCATTTTGTAGGATGTGTTCAATAGCTAACTTTCGGCCGGCTGATATGGAATCTTTAGATAACCAGGTGAGGCTTTCCTTGGTGTTTATTTGTTTGAGCTTATTAAATAACTTGCCTTGTGTTCCCTACGGTACATTGTTACCTGTGTTCACATACTTATAAGTTACATCTCCTTTTTCACAGATTCATGGTTACATTACTTCTCAGCAATTGGCAACCATTGCGAACCATTAATGACACAGTGTAATGAATGATCTTGTAACATGTCTGTCCCTGTAGAAGAGGACGTCGACATGGAGTCTTGCCCATTGGAAAGTTTTGCTAGTTTGAAAGTTGAACATGAGGCAGCCACTTAAACTAACCACTTTTGTGAATAATAGCAGGAGATAGTGGCTCCTTCAAATATGGAGTAGTAGCAGATTTGATAATTCAGGTCCTTGTTGTCCACTCACCGTAATCCAGTAATCTTTCCATATCCTTTAGAATCCACTTGCTAGTTTGGGGGGATTTTGGATTTGGCTGGATTAGGGAAGGTACACCCAAGCCACTGTCATTTTTTATGGAGTTTGATGGTTGTTGCCCCCTTGTACTCCCTGTACAGAGAAATACATTGGTTTCCTGCACGGTAGGGGATTTTCCAAGATCAAGGAAGACCTAGACACTATTTGACTCAAAAACGTAACTAGTGTTGGCAGACACAAACCCACCCACTTGAGATTTTTGTTCCTGCAAAGTACATGCACCTTTCAGTCTGAACGAAGCGGTGAAAAGACACTCCCCAAAGTCCACTGTCAAGATAGATCTTGACTATCATCACTATTGCCTGGTTAGCATCACCACAGGGGAGCAGGTAGGATATGAAATCTGTCATGACCCTCTGCACTCCTCCATCTTGTCATTTGACCACAGAATACCTTACAGCCTGACCTCTGAAGTGACCACCGAATGGACGATCTCTTCCATTCTCTCTCTTAATTCCTTTCAATCCTTCCACCCTCCCTGGAGTGAAACCCACAGTCCTCAGACCCTAACTTGCTTGCCCTGACCTCTGTCCTGACGTCAAGCTTATTAGTGAAACCCCCGAGTTAACCCACAAACTCCAGTGTTACTTCCTTATCTTGTCCACCAAACAATTCCTGGATAAACCACATCACAACCTTTCCCCCCACCATCCCTTCCCAGAATCGCTACCTTTAAGTTCAATTCCAGTACCTCCGCCACCTTCCCCCCTTCTTTTAATGCCAGTGGCTACTTGCAGTTTTTGAGATCTGACATCAAGCAAGTTTTTCAACAGTCTTGGGTCTCTTACCTCATGGTGCACTTACTCAAAACTCGGACCGATTCCCGTAAAACATCATTTACCCCGAGGGAACATGGAGCAACCGATAGCCCCTTGCTGTTGAATGGGATAATCCCCTGGACTAACCCCTGTGCGATCTCACTTTGTGGCCCTTGCTGATAGGCCAGCATAATGCAGCTCAACTCCCTGCAAAGTTGAAACTCTCTCCAAATACTGTCTAATTTTCATATTACTGTCATGAGTTTATGCTTGCCCTGTTCTTAAAGATTTGGTTGCTCAATGTATTTTTCAAAAGCAGACTTACACGCTTCCAAACCTGAAAAACAGTTCACCAGTACTCAGGAAAAAGTAGTATGTCACTTTAAAAAAAACCGAAAGTATTAATTTATATGTACTTTTTCAAGAATTGTATTCTCAAATGATTATAGTAACTTCAGACTTGCTTTAATTCAGTCTTCGTCTGTAAACGAAACAAAACACATGGATGTGAATTTTCATCTTGTACCTCGATGAACTTTATTTCTGTGGATTTAGCCAGGAGTTGAAAGGGAATTCAATGATGTCTAAATTTTGTTTTCTCTTTTTGCATGGCTCATCAATTTAATGCCCTTCTATTATCAGTGGCATTAAATCTACTGTTGGAATATCTCAAAAGTCTCTTTGATTTACAGTGGAGATCTTCTCTGTGTTTGTTTCACTAAACAGTCACTGATGCCCAGTCTGTGTGGAGTGGCTCAGTGAAACCATTCAAATATTGTCAATTTCAGGAATGTTTGCTCAGGTTTTTTAAATAGAAAGTATGATTTCCAAGTTGAACATTAAATTTGGATCTCCCTGCATCCTCCAAATTTGCAGAGGTAGGGTTGGAGCTCATCCATTTCAGATAACTTTGTCACAGAATGAAATTCAATATGAATCCTAATGTGTACTGTATGCACTGTTTGTGTTATTCTTTGGACCCTCTGTGGAACAAACGCCTAAACCTATCTGGTCCATCCCTGACTTCTACGTTTCTCTTAAAACCTATTTGTTTCAGAATAGATATACTATATCTGGTAAATCATTCTTTGGTTTTTGCATGTACTGCACCCATGAGCATCACTCTTCAGCGGACATCTGCTCATTATAAATCTATGGTATTATTATTTGTTTGCTTTTGACTAAAATGTCAAGCTTTTTGTTCTTAACTCCTTGTCCCAGGATTATGAGCTCCAAAGAAAGATCGACCTGGAGATTAAGATGAGGGAAGGGACCAGGAAGCTGCTAGCAGCCTGCAACCGGGAGCTGCACCTGCTGGAGGCTGCCAAGGCCCTCCTGGTCTCCAACACCCGCGTCCTAGCCTACATGTCGGAGCTGCAGAGGCGCAAGACGGCCCAGTACGTGCAGGAGAAGAACAAAAAGAAAGGGTCATCACGAGGGGTCTCGGCAAGCAGCGGTAGCTCAGAAGGGAGCGGGAGTGAGTGTGGGAGCAGGCCAGCATGTAAAGGAAAGATTGCCGTTTCAGGTACACTGAGGAGAAAAGGGGTTAGGGTCAGGGGATGGCGTGGATGGATTATTAGTATCAAGAAAAATATATCTGAAATAATTCCATGAATCTTTCAAGCTTTGACACAGATTTGAATAAAAACTTCCAAATGCTTTTCCTTGTTTTTCTAGACATCAGGATTCCACTCTTCTGGAAGGATGTTGACCACATAAAGAATCGTGGAGGTAACATACGTTAATTCACTGAAGAAGATTATTTTACTTTTTCATTTTTGTTTTGCGTTGTATGTGGTCATAAGATATTCTGGTAGAGGTAATTGTGTTGCATTGTTGTGTTGCATGTATTTTATGCGGAGTATCTTTCATTCATGAAGTTTTTGAATGTATTCCTTACAATCTTAAAGATTTGTTCACAGTATTTATTATGAGCTTGAGTGCAAATCTTCCCGGGGAAATGATTATAGTTGCATGACCTTTGCTATTTTCACTCCCTGTCTTGGAAGCTGCCTGTGACGAATTTAAACCCACTTGGCAAATTGGCATTTTGACGTTGGCAAGAGCAGGAACTCACATTGCCAGCACTTGCTATGTAGGATTTGGTCACATATGGCCACAGAAGTTTCTTTGAAAAAACATCCTCCTTTTTTGGTCCAATCTAAAAAATAAAATCCTTGAACCTGACTGACCTCAAACCCTGAGAGGACTATATTAATAATAAAAATGACAGACCCCTACTGAATAGTCTTGCTTCCTCTCCATGGGGCACACTTCCACCTTCTGATTTGAACCTTCCTGAAGAAAGTTGTCTTGAGGCACAAAGAAAACGATACCTTTCCATGCATGGATGAGACCAGTCTGTGTGGATCTACCCTGAGCATGTACGTGTACATGTACACATACGTGTACATGCACACATACATGTATATAACAAGATTAATGGAAGTAAAAGATGATCCTGATGCTAGTTTTTGAGTGATATTTCGTTTAAAGAATTACAGATACTTCATATTATATATTATTATATTCATGTTATATATTATTCACTGCATAACTTTTTAAGTTGTTTTCATTTGATAAAAAAACATCGTTGAAAGTTCACATTTCTAGCCAGTGGATAACAATTTCTTGAAATATCGCTGCACATAAAGTTGACTTGATGTTACTTGAGTGTGTGATATGTTGGGGATATTTCATGTCAGTTTAGAACAAACCTGTAATTCCTGACACAAAATTCTCAAGTTTTAACCCCACCCCCAAAACTAGTTCCTCAAGATCACTCAACAGTTTCAATAGTGTCTGTCAAGCTGAATTTCTTCAAACAAAAATTGATGAAGATACCTACCTCCTGCTTATTTTTTTTTTTTTTTTTTACATTAAGTGTTATATTTTAAGACTCACCAGGTTCACAGCTATGCACAGACTTTCATTCAGATCTGAAATTAATGCAAGAATATGCTGGATGTAATTTCCTGACCGTGCGTACCAGCAAAACTTGGCACCTTCTAAGCCAGGAAATTAGTGTTTGACGTAAGCACATTTCAAGCGAAGCCCAAATGTTTGGCCGTTTAAACTGGATTTTCTGCACGTGTTCACTTGTGCCCATTCGTCATCCAAATTCTAATGGATTAAAAAAAGTTGTCATTTTGAGCCGCGAGGTTCTTTCAGCTGCACAGGAAAGCCAGCCCTAGCCAGCTTTGTTGCCGAATAAATCTTTCCCATGAAGCTCAGATAAAGAGTTTATTCAGAGCTCATAAGTTCAAAGCAAAGCCACAGGAAACAAGTCTGCAAAAGGCTGTCAATGTATACTTCATTTGAAAACAAATCGGGAAATGGTAAATCTCAGTATTAGGCAACATGCTTTCTGTAAACTGTCCAGGAATGTCAGCCTTTAACAATCTGTTTACCCTGTCAGAGCTTTCGTCAGAAAAACTCAACTCGGATGGTTCCAAATTACAGGGCTAAAGTAGCAATTTGGCTTGTCAGTACTTCTCAAAACAACTTGGATGGTGTGTAATAAAACTTCCAAGCAGGAAGGAAGAACTCTGAAAATATATAACACAGGCTGAATTTAATTTGAAAAATACCCCATTCCAGATTGTAAATGTCTTTAGAGTTAAACATGTCTGTCAGTTCCGATCCAAGCATTTTTTTTTCTCTAGGGCAAAATCAAGATCACTGAGACACGAGGGTGTTGGATATTTTTCTACCCTTTTTCTGCCTGTTGCTCTTTGAACCGGAAATTATCAGTGGATTGATGCTCCCCTTTTTTTCACTTTCTAGACCATCACCGGTATGCCATCTTCTGTCTCCTCAAGATTGGTACAGAAATCAACAGCACCCAGCTGGTTACCAACGTGGACAGGACAGCAACAGATGTGACTTTTGAAGACTCGTTTGTTTTGTAAGTTGATACAGCCGAGCTGGTTTCTCATTTCCTTTATTTAGATTGAGATGGATATGGTTGGTATGAAGTCACTTTCTGGTCCATTGCTATTACATGTAAGTGTACTGCCATAAATTCAGAACTGCTTCAAAAGACTGTTTGTGGCCATTTTACTTGAGTTTTATAAGGAAGCAAGGGTACTAGTGGTGTAGGAAAGGTTTTTTGATGCAGCATGGCAAAAGCTGGCTAAAATGTGTCAACTAAACGTAGGTTTTGTCCAATTGCCTTCCCGTACTTGTACACAGTCTTGACAAACAAAGAGAATTAGTTTTTCTGATGAAGAAAGCAGGCACACCCAGAAGATGTTAAAACACAACCCAGTCCAAATAACGACTGATTGAGTCTGATTCAGAGTTGACTATCTGTCAATATAAGTCATCTCTGTCAACAGAGAGCTCTAAAACTAGATGTAAGAGACAGACCATCCCATGTGGCAGTCCTGATAAGATTCGTGATGAAAAAAAGTGAAAGAACCGACTTGAATGGTTTGACAAATCCCCCTTTAGCCAACCAGACCCCTTCAGGAGTTTAGGACTGAACCCCTGACTATCTGATCATGAGTCACGAACACTTCCCATGATAGGAAAGGGATTGAAGAAAAGCCTTGTCCATTTGTCGTAGTTGAACAAGATTTATAAGGGGAGGGCCAGAACGTGTCCAAGAACCCATTAAAAAAATCCTCATACCCTCACCCTGTCATGATTTGTGAGCTTTTTCTTCCTGTGTTGGGACTTTGCCATGAGGTGTCTTTGTAGACACGGCGAATTTTGAAAACCTAACTCACTGGCGAAGGCAAACCCACTTGAATCCAGCAGAAACGAACGGAGGATCCCATAGGACATTTCTTGTTCAGATTTGGACAATGAGTCCCATGTGAGGTAGCAGTGGCTGTAACGAGAGAAGGAAAATTGAAAGTTGTCCTTTGATGCATTCCAGTTTGCTAGAATGAGAACCTTTCAACTAAATCTTTAGAAGTGTTCTAGAGAAAAACTGGCCTACACAATCAAGCAAGCAAATCCAGAAATTTTTTCTCTGTTTCCTCTTTCCTTCAGTGAAAACGTCTCTCCAGATTTCCAGTTTACCTTTGAAGTCTATTCCTACAACCTCCACGACGACATGACCATGGCGAGCACACCGCAGAAGCTGCGTCGGAAGATCAACTCCTTCTCCAACAGTGTCGGGAAAACAGTGGGGCGAAAACTGCAGGGGAGCTTGTCCACAGGGGTGAGCTATCATACATGTAGTACTTGCAAATGCCTTTTTGATGACAAAGATGCAGCGTCAAAGAGTTCCCAGTAGCAGAAAGAAACCTTGTTACTGTTATACCATTTCCTTTTTTTTTTAAATCCAAACACAAAATTCATTTTAAAAGTGCAAGTTTGTCCTTGATCAATCTCAGTGTTATTAATTTTAGCAGGTAGTTTAAACTCTACAAAAAACTCTGGCACCTTTTCATTTTAATTTAAATCACACCTTTTATTGCTGATTCTTTTGCCCTCTTTGATCACTCAGTCTAGTGAGGAATCCGCTAATCCGGAGGAGACACCCAGGTTCCGTCTCGTCGCCCAGGCCAACCTCACAGTGGACGACATCAATCCAGTCACCAAGACTCATGATTTGAGTCTGGAAACTGGCAAGTATTCAGAACAGACTCCCAGCAAAATACTGACAATAATCAAGAAGACTTTCACAATGCAATTGTGGGCCATGGCAGGGCACTCAATCTGAATATGGCCAACCCTCGCTGGCAGTGTTTTAAGTTTTCCGACAGCGTAAGCACCATTTACCATTCTTCTTAAACTTTTCTTCCTTTCTCCTTGTTTAACAGATGACACTGCACGTTCTCACTGCCTTCCTCTCTTTGGCAATTTTTGCTGTCGATTGGCCGCCCAGCCCAGTTGCATGGCACAGATTCTGTGTCAGGGTATTCTTCACCTACAGGTAAATGAGGGTTCACTATTAAACATCCCCCATTGCGTTCACGTTACGTCTTGTTGACGATACTGTCTCACCTAACATGACTGCATGCGCTTATGCTCTTATTCAGTCCATGAATTGCAAAGACAGAAAACAAAGATGTTCCTCAAACTTCAAAACTACCAGTGCACTTGCTGTTAACCTAACGTACTGCGGTAGTTTCAATTCCTTTGTGTTATATTTAGTCCAGAGATATGTGAAATAAATCATCAGAGAAGTCAGAAGTTAATCGTTTGGCATAACCATTTGTTTATATGCTCATATTTTTACTTCTAGGGAAAATGTGAACACAGGGTTTCTCATGCCAAATTATTTTATCACGTGTTCAGAATAATTTTTATTCAATTCAGGTTTGATCAGTCACACGATGCAAACAAAGTGTTGTAATTGGTCTCTGTTTGTGAAGAGTAAGACGTCAGTGAAACACAGCTATATTGTCTTTGCATGCATGGTGATATCTCTGCAGGAGAATCAGGCTGGTCTCGCCAATTGGCGGAGGAATCTCTGGGGAGTGTTGCGGGATGGACACCTGAAGGTCTGGGACAAGGCAGAGGATATGTCAATCAACGCTGATCCCATTCACACTATTCCAGTCTCCAAGGTGCAGGCCCCTGCTGTTTCTATATTTGTTCCCTCCCCCTTCCTGTTTAGGGCGAGTCACAGGCACGGTTTTTGGATGTGATTCCATCGGAACGCACGTGTATCGGATGACAAACGTGCTGCTAGAGAAACCCAGATGGTTTTCATCTTCTGTTTAATTGTCAGAGTACTATAACCTAGTCGGCCTGAACTAGGTAACAAAGTCTTCAGTCCGGGTTGCCACAGTTAAGATTTAAATTAGTCTAGAAGCTTTTTGGTCAAGATTTTGCACTTAAAAATCCATGAAGTTAAGCCTCAAAATTAAATATCTGTGTTTCTTCACAAGGTAAAATATTCTGAAATTTGATGCATATCCTTCAAAATGGCATTTAGCTTTAACTACTTGAACCATCATCATGATTTATGTCTCTAAAACACCATGCATTTATTCCAGAAAGATTTGGGTTTGTAAGGAAAATCAAAAAGTTGCTTTTCTGTGAACAAATAAATAAATAAAATAAAACAAAGAAAGAAAGTTTCCACAGTGCTGCATTTCCCCATTTTTTACACCTTTGACATTTCCCCCCTCTGCCTTTGCCTTTCCCAGGACACAGTTGTCAGTCTTTCAACAGAGTCCAGTGCAACCAACCCTCATGTTTTAGAAGTCAGTCGGCAGGAGGGCGAAGAGCGCCACCACCTGGCTGCTGAGAGTCAAGGGGAACTGGAGAGGTGGCGTAGTTCCCTGGAGCAACTAATTGTTGATCAAGGTGAGGCGATGAGGATCGTGTAAAACGTTACAGAAACTGAGGATTAAGCATCGATTCTTTGGATGCATTCAGTTTTTGCAAATTCAATAGAAATAGTTTTATATTATTTATTTCATCACCCTTTGATTCTTCTTGTTGATCCAGGGCCATCAAAAAGTCATCAGGTGATCCAGATTAGACTTGACTTTGCTTGTTCGAGCAGACATCTTGCCTCTGAGATTTGTAGGGATTGGCTGGCCCGTTTTGAGTCCGATAAAATTAACATCCATTGATGCCCCCAAAATTATTCAAGCTATTGAGTATTCCATGCACTTGCTCAGCATCAGACTTGGTTACCCAGACAAACTTTTTCCGTTCCAAATCTTTGTTTCCGTTCCTGCTACGTTCTCGTCTTTGGGTCCAGGGTTCAGTTTCACCAATTCATGTCGTAGAGTTGAGACCTCTGGCTCAGAGAAACATCTAATTACTAAAAGTGAGGCCAGAGTTTGAAATATTTGACTACTCCAATTTATCAACATTTGAATCCGATTGTTGAATCTGGAACGAAGAAGTAGATAGAGTTAAATCCTTGATTTGAACAAAGTCCATGGACCATACTGCGCTGCAAGTAGTCTCACTCTCTCTCTGGTTGGCTTCCCAGGAGCCTGGCTGGATGCCTGTCACACCTCAGTAGACATCCTTGCCACTGAGCCTAGGAGACCGTCAATGGACTCCGATCGCACCGGGTCCCTCTACGATGAAATGTCCATAAGTAAGTAATGCTGACAGAGTAGACCGCGTGTGTTCAATGCAGGGTATCCCACCCGATGATGACAGGTGGCCGAGGTAACATATGTATGCTATTAGTGATGTGCAACGGTTCTTGTGTGAAAACGATACGGATTGATAAAATAACTTGCGTATAATCCCTGCTAGACTTTCAAGAAGGATGTGCGATGTGTCATCCCAGTGGGCGATTATTTCTTGAATAAACACAACCCTTCTTCTTGTTTTTGCTCAGCACAAGTTGTCTAACCGCCTTTATTAATGACTCCAACTCACAAAGACTCTTAAGTCTGCATCGTCAAAAATATATATCTACATTTCTTGCATACTTGAGTTAGTTTTTTTTTAAAACTCAGTCAAAAATGCTTTCATTCTTCTGTCAGATTCCTGTGACCTCATCCTTTTTTTTTTCCACTGTACTTAGGGACTCCAAAATGGTCCTGCGTACTGCACTGCCTTTAAGTTTTTAAGATAAAGAATACCAGAGCACCCATTGACATTTAATAATTGACTCTGGATTTTTGTTGCCATCATTAATGCGCCGGTGTCACGTACATCTCCCACGTCACTCTGGAGGGAAAACAGCCAAATATCCTGTCCCCAGTCCTTTTAATGAGGGAAGAGATAAAAACATGAAGACATACAAGGAAACTCTGTTTGTGCGCCACTTTCCTGCCTGCTGCGTTCAGCTGGCAGCGACGTGCTTTGGCTAAGAGCCAGAAACTGAATCAGAAATCTCTGCCGTTTTTTTGTCGGAATGAGACCTTGGGACACTCTGGTGGTTTTGCCAATGCAAGACTAAACATGCAGTAATGTATCAATCTCAGTGCACTGCTGTAATATAAAACACTACACTTGTTGACATATTGCCATATTTGTCTCGACATTATAGTCTCACAACTTTTGAAGTCAACCTTTTAAGGCCAGGCTGAATTTTAAAGAGATTTGCCCTTTTTTGGCCGTTTCCGTAAAATCAGACTGTAGTATTACACAACAGAATTGAATATGCCCAGTTGGTAAGATTCTTTGAGAATCTGTGGTTTCAAACCCCATCTTTGAGAAAAAAAGGTATCTGTCTAACCGCAAGTGATATTTACATGTACTAGAAAAGCCACCTTACTTATTTTAATGTCCCAATTCTTTTTTCACCAACAATATTTTGATGTGTTGTTGATGCCTGTTCGGACTTTAAATGAAAATGAAACAGAATTTTTGTTGTTTGATCAACAAGACACACTGCGAAATCGCACAAAGTTGAGCACATATCCTTAACCAGAGATTTAACTGATGTGTTCTTTTGATTCAGGTACAGACCTGACAAGCCAAGATGAATCTGACGATGAGAGCGTGTTTACAGACTCGCCTGCTATGAATCTCAGACCGAGGCCGCTCGTCGCCAACACAAAAACATTCAAGAAACCAATATTCACTATTCCAAAAATCCTGGTGCGAAGGGAAACCAATGTTTAAATTTTTTTGCAACATGCTGTTTTTTTATTGTAGATAAAATGGGAAGCAACCATAAAATACAATACCGGTTTAAAAAATCAAAAATTGAGGCTTTTTTAGCACTCCACAGAATGAATGGAAAAATTATGCGAATACGTAGAATGGAAACAAGTTTAGTCTGAGGACAAAGTAATTTTGTTAATTTATTCACATGATATAATTACCAGGAAATGGTAAGTTTGTCAAATAAATATATTTTGTTTGTACCAAAAAATAATTTTTCAATCAGTTAATTTAATCATCAGTGAAAACATCAATCAAAAACAAGAAACGATAAGTGTATATTTTCAGGTCCAGAGCCGCCGTTGTAGAAATCTGCAACTATTTATTTTAAAAAGGGGAAAAGTCATGTCTTTCATATATTGGAAAACCAGGTGTTTTGTTTAAAATAATGAATGCATGTACTTTGAATGAAACAAAAAGATTGTTGTAAAATGTGGGAGGATTCTTTGGGTGGAGCTTGGGGAGGGGGATGACCTTTTATTCGAATGGTCAGGTGCCCCACCCCGGACACCACTTCCAGAATTTACAAAGAATTTCAGGTCAGAAAAATGAAAACATCGTTTATGGCTTCATTTGGGAACTTTGGCTGGGAGGATTATTTTTCTGCCTCAACCTGCGGAGTAAAGACGGAGTATTGATGACTTTTCTTGACAGACAACATTCTTACTGTAGTGATTGATATTTAAGAAAATATTCCCTGGAAATTTGTTTGGGAAGTTTTCTGGTTGTAGCATTGTCCAGTCAGCTCGAGACTCCAAAGGGGTCAAACTTGTAGATTCTATGCTGAACAAATTCAGAGTAAATTTTATGCCTACAAAGTTGCCTTGAAAATTTTTTACTTTTCTTCAAGAGGTTGGATTCCCGACAAGATTTTTTGTATTTATTCTATCACCTCAAAAAACAATGGAAGAGGGGGGCTACTTTTTTAACAAAATATGCTATTGTATGTGGTCATGAGTGCATATCAGACAAGTGACCTTTTATCCCATTCTTGAGTGGTGCTGTAAGTTCCTTGCAAATGGTAAACTGGCAGAAACACTCTTTATTTTTATTAACTCTTTCCTCATTTGTGATCCTAGATTGTAGTTGTCCAAAACACATCATCACTTGAAACTTAAGCAGGTATTATATTTTGATAAAGAGGCTGATAAGACACATGAGATCCCACTGCTCCACGATTGTTTGCCAGGCACCACTATTTATGCAGATGGAGTTTTGTGTTAAAAATATGAAATTCCATTTTTTTTCCAATTGATTAGCCATTTGTTGTAAGTATATATATTCTTGAGGCTGTACTTGTGTCTTAAACAAAATTGAAGAAATCATACAATTAGACATTTTAGTTATTTGAAAAGTCCACAAACCTTTGGGTTAAAAATTGCATGCTTATAAAATTCATTAAGAAATTTACATAAAATTTTTATTTACAAATTTACATAAAAAGGTCTGTTGAAATTTTATGCTTTATTCCCCCCCCTCCACAAAAGTTAGATCCATTGAACTTTTAATTTTTTGGTCTTAAATGTTCCAACCAAGCATGAACAATTGTGTCCACATTTTATGACCTTAGTCTTAAGAAAATTCAAGTATGGAGTTGTAGTTGGTCCCAACTTGACACCAAATTATAACTAAGCATTGGATGATGTCTGTAATGCATTCCCTTATAGGAGTATTTATTTGCTGATAGCGTGGAAAGCATTTTAATCCATTTGCCATGTGAAAAAAAGGTTTTCCACATTTATCCAGAAGACTTTTATCCGATATTTATTATCAGTTGATATTTTACTGTAAAAACCGTACAACCATTTATGTTACCTTACCTTAAATTAGTGCCGTAGTGTGCATTTTATTTATCCACATGTATACATTATTTTACTGTTCTCAAAACCACAGTTTTAATAACTTATCCCAGGAGCTATCCCGGGAGCTGAAATTAATTTTTCTTACCCATCAAACTTGATTTATTATGCATTATACACATTGTAATTGTAAGTATTTAATCAAAGATGCATAACCAATTAAAATGTTAATCAAACAAGGGTCTGTCGTTGTCTGGGTCTGTCTGTCTGTTGCTCCTTTTGTCAGTCGGAATATCTGTGTCTCTGTTCCTCCCTAGTAGCTGCTGTGAACACTAAACGTGAAGAAGTATTATGAACGAATATTTCCGTGGTGTCATTAGTTTGTTGCTTAGCGAAAACGGACATTTAAAAAAAGACAGAAAAACCGAAGTTTTTTTGTTGTGTTGTTCTCTCGGGAGAATTTTTTTCTTTTTGAATTTTGCAAAGCTCCTCGGAATTGGTTTCCCTGTGGTACCTTTCGGAGGGGAAGTCGCACGAAGTGTTTTGCTAAAATGTGCATTTGTATTCCCACTTTAATTTATCGAAGTAATGTATCGATTGCAGGATGCGCTGTTGGGTTTGCACAAGACAGAAACGCACTGCGTGTCGCGTCGGGCCACAACTCCACGCAGTCTGGAAAATTTGGTTAATAATTGTTTTATTAACCACCGAGGGCGCACTTCTCAATGCGTTATGTAGCGACAAATTGTGTGCAAAGTGTGTACGTGTATAACGTTACCTTCGTGGGTGGTACGTACGAAAGACATTTGAACAAAATTTCGACTTGGAATTTGAAGGTTGGTGGAAAATTTGTTGCTTTGTTTTTCATTCGTGAAGAAAGATGACATTGCAGAAAATCATGAATCGATTGTGCTTGAACTAAATAAATCATGGCCATTTTGCGCAGTGTGAATCGAGCAGTAGCGTCCACGATTTACGTAAAACTTCATTAGACATAAGCCTACCCCCCAGAACTGTGGGGTCACGCGGTGCGGACGTCGGACCCCACAGTTCTAGGGCATGGAGGTAAATGAATCATCAGCTATGGCAGCAGGGAGTAATTGATCGGGAGGAACATGGAGGTACATGTAGAACTACCTCAATGTGAAGAACGATGCCCTTCCATTATCTTGGTTATATTGGTTCCATTATCTTGGTTATAACATATTGGTTTTATCAAAATGGCTGTTTTTTAGTAGCGTGAGCTCAAAATAGATCTCACAAAGATTGAATGATCGTGCAGATTGACGGATTACTCTCACTATATGCCCCCGTCCATTTTGTTTTATCCAGTTGAATTTCGGATCTTCTTTTCAGATTACATTTATACCAATAATCTTGAACCATGGGCACGTGGCCAGGACATGCCTTGCCGGGTGCTTTCTTCATTCTGTACGCCATCTGGTGGATGGTACAGTTCACCTATGAGAAGGTCGCCCTTGACAGCGGCCGGTTGCAGCCAGCTGGACGCATCCTTCGCAAAGTGCATCGCTGGCCCATCGAGGGGGTGACTATTATGGTAGCTGGGATCATTGGTTTCATAGCTGAGATGATGTACCCAGCCCCCAAATGGACCCTGATTGGCGCTGACGGTCAGTTCAAACATTCAGCCGAGTGGCAGCATTGTACTATGTACACGTTCTTCTCGGTGTATGGGCTGGTGGTGACCCTGTCTAAGACCTGCCTACCTCAGGCCGAGCGCTACACCAAGATCTTCGGCAGCCTGGCATTCTTCATCGAGGGCATGCTCTTCTATTTCCACACTGACGGCCGCCCCGATTTGGACATCCGCCTGCATTTCCTGGAGGTCATCGCAATTGCCTTCTGCGCCATCTTCAGTGCAGTCGAGGCCTGGTGCCCGAAGGATGACCGCATCCGGGTCATGCGCTACACGGCCACGCTGCTGCAGGGCACCTGGTTCTTTATGGTAGGCACTGTGCTGTACTGGCCACCTTCGGGAGAGCAGTGGGATATGGAAGACCACCGCAACATGATGTTCATCACTGTGGCTTTCGCCTGGCACATCCTGCTGGACATTGTCGTTATGCTTATCGTCTATGGGGTGGTTAGGTGCATCTTACGTCTGACTGGGTGTGTAGGAGTGCGTTACCAGCCCATGAACGACGGTGTTGAAGCAATTGAGTTTGAAAGCACAAAGCTAATGGACAATGGCCAGCCAGGCCATACAGGATCAGACATTGAGAGTGACTAAATTTTCCTCTGTCTCAGAGCTGCCAAAATTTATAGGTCATTGGAAGAAAGTCTGGCCCTAAACCTAGCACCAGATCTCATGAAGGAGTTTAGATTGGATTCTACAAATTAAAGTCAGTTTGCATCGCATTAATGTGCATGGAAATCATCATTGACTCCTTCCTGAATGCTTTTTCGATTGCGTAGGATAAATTGTTCTTTTTCCATCAGTTTTCGTGTTAAAAAGAAGAAGCAGGAATTTTCATGAAGACTCCTTTTTGAGGTCGGGTACAAAAAAATGAGATCACAAGAAATGAGCATGTCATACTTGTCGTGTAAGCTTGACCAAAGAAAATGCGAAATCTAGCAGTGCCAGTGAATGACTGAAATTCAAAATTGTATGACATAGTATATTGATGCTAGGTTGGTCTTGTACAAATGAAACTATTATGAAGCTTATGCTAATGGAAAGGCTCTGTTGTTAAATGTAACATTTGATCTGAGAGTGTATATCATGTAAACATTTGCATAGTGTAGTAATGACTTCCATGTATCACCCTTTATTTCGAATGTGAGTTAAAACCCTTACATTTTCCATGAAATCGCACTAGCTATTGAACATTTACCCAAACCTGGAATTGGCAACAAAATGAAATCGGACATGTTAGGAAGAAAGAGTAACGTACCTGTGCATGCATGATTTATTAGTTGTTTGAGGTTGGGGGGCAATAGGACGCTTCATATTAGTACTCACATGATAATCCTCAGATTTCATCCTGGCTTCAATATTTCATTAATTCTGAATTGTTAACAAGTTTTTGTGGGCAGAGTTCACCTTCTCTGCTTTTTTTTTTAATTGAGCATTGTGAGACTTCCTGGTGTTGCTGTGAACTTTGATCTTTACACACTTTGTAATAGATAAAATGTTGACATAGTACACATTAAGGTTGCGTGCATTGTTCTTTTGATATTTCATTGTATATCTGCAAAGGACAATGAAACTCAAAAGACTCACAATGTGAAGGTTGTAGGCTACTTGTTTCAAAAGAGAATGTTTTTCTCATTCATTTTATAAGTCTGATCAAATCCGTTTATCTTTATATGTACTTCTATGTGACACTTTGCATTCATTTAAGTTATGATGCATGTATCGTGGGGACGTGATTTTTTTACTTGAATGTTAATTTTGGGTTTCAAAGTGGTAGTGGATTTGGTGTGTGTTGTCAAAAAGCTGTAAAATGGTGCAGGATTGATATCTGCATAAATTAATTCTGTCTTATAAAAAAAGATCTTCAGTTTCAGACTGCACATGTATGCTAACGAAATGTGGTACCCGCTCAGTAATGTTTGAAATGGTGCTGAAACATATCCCAAATTCTGTAGTCTGTACATATCAAATGATTTCGATCCGACAGACTCACAAATTTCTGTTTCAATCCAAGCCAATGAAAGTTTCAATATTTATTTGAATACCGTTTGCTTTTGTAAATATGTGTACAACTGATTGGAAAATGTATGAGGTGTACATATGAGATACTTTGTCTAAATATAATTCTAGAAATTTGGTTCAGAACATAGACAGCTGATAATGTAAGTCACTGAAAAGACTGCAGGTGTATGATGTGTTCTTGAAATTAATAGAGGCACCATTAATTAACTAATGAATTTATTGTCCTTATTGCCGGACACCTGTTCAACCTGTTACTGAGACTGTTGGTTGTGCATGTATTTGGTGTTGAGGATGCTAATTTAATAGAGGGCGATCATTATTTTTAAAAATTCCAGTAATTTAATTGGCTTTCATTAATGCTTTGACTTGTTGATGGCATTTTTTCCCCATTCTTTCTGTAGTTGTTGTCAAGAAATGTTTATTAGAAGTGCGGCTGTAACCGAATTTTCTTTTGGGCAAAACATGTCAAATTGTGTGTAGACTGTGTGCTCCGACTTGAGATAACACAGAATTTAAATGTGTCTTTTCAGAAACCAACTATCAACTGAATTAACAGAAGTTCACAGCATGTTGTTGCAACTAGAAATAACACATGGCTCAGTCCATTTCTGTATAGAATTTTGGCTGTTATCAGGACATGGCATTGGAACATACGATGGTTATGCTTGGCGTCCAAGTCTTGTTTCTCCTCCTAGTTCAGCTTATCGTCGTTCGACTACTCTGGATCTCAGGCCACTTTAGTTCTTGTTAAACTGCATTCCATCCACAGTGACCCGATTGTTGTAAAACCAGTGTCAAATTTAATTGTTTAAGGTTTCTGAAGTTCTGAACGTGTATTCTTACATATCTCAACAGTACTGAACTACAGCACTTTCATCCAAACCGTTGTACAGGGCAAGTTATGTAGCGTATTGTATTAATTGTCATCTTATTGAAACATAAATTTGAATTTTTTACATGTAGTTAAAAACATATGATGCAATTAATAAATTGTGATAATTGCATAGCAGAATTGGGAACAGGGTTGATTTTTTTCCTAATGGCAGTTTTGTGGAGTCTTGTGGTGAAATAAATAGAACACGCTCTGTGGCAAAATTCACACCTCGTTATAACTCAAGCCCATGTAGTTCATAACTCGACTTTGTATCTAGTGTCTGTTCAGAGCCACCCTAACCCACCCTGTTCACTCCACACACCTGTCAGCTGTAAGTACTTCTCATGCTTCCATAACCTGTTGAAATTTTCTTTAATCTAACATGTCCACTATCCCATGTATTTCATCAACGTCTTGCGCAATATTCGTCATAATTTATGTCCAACCTTTTACAAAAAAATAAATTACACCCTTTTCCTGCAGAAATGCACCATTGCACCTCCTGGAAATGAGTGAGGCTTAAATGTTTTTCAGTTTTTACATTTTGATTATAAAGATCCCTTAAGTGGGCTCAATATTTGTCCACTTGGTGAGTTTTATCGATAAAAATATGCCTGAGGAGTGGCGCGTCATGCAAAATAGTGCGTACGTGACAATTCGCCTGGGCTCGCTGAACTTTGGCAAAATTAAAATAAAGCATGGTCTCGTTTGTTTTGCGCGTTTATTGGAACCTAACGACCAAGGGAACCAGACTTTACAGGTACATGTACGAAGAATTTCGTCACAAAGTTTGAAGTTACGTTGAGAACAACGTACGTTTTCTTCGTCATTTATCCTACACACATTATATGAAAGTTTTTTTTTCACTTTTGAGGTTTGAATGCAGTCTCGAAGCACAAAGTAGAAGCCATTTGATGCTAGATTTTGGCCGGTAAGCTGATAGACATGGGAAGTTTTGCTGGCCATGCCCTTCCGGGTTCGTTTTTCATCCTGTTCGCAATATGGTGGATGGTTCAGTACGCGTACGAGGTGGTGGCACTCGACGGCGGCCGACAACAGCCGCGGGGCCGAATCATGCGATTCCTCCACAGCAAGCCCATCGAGGGTGGCCTTGTGGTCTTTGCTGGTGTCGCTGGATTCATTGCAGAGAACATGTATCCAGCCCCGAAGTGGGGCATCTATGACGAAGACGGCCGGTTCGCCTACACTCACGTCTGGCAACACTGCGAGATGTACACCTTCTTTGGGCTGTACGGCATTGCCGTGATCCTGTCCAAGACCTGCATGCCACAGGCTGAGAAGTACACCAAAATTTTGGGCAGCCTGGCATTCTTCGTCGAGGGGATGTTGTTCCACTTCCACACCGTGGGTCGCGCTTCCATCGACGTCCACCTCCATAAGCTCCTGGTGTATGCCATCGCTGCTTGTGTGGTCTTCACCTTGGGTGAAGCATTCTTCCCCAAGGAAGGCCGATTCCGCATCATGCGCTGTGTTGCTGTCTTCTTACAGGGTACTTGGTTCTTTCAGGTCGGCACCGTCCTGTATTGGCCCCCTTCAGGGAAACCCTGGGATGACAAAGATGAAGCCAATCTGATGTTTCTGACGGAAGCTTTTGCCTGGCATCTCCTAGTTGCTATTCTTGTCATAGTGATAGTGTATGGAATCTCATGTCATGTCCTGAAGGCCACCGGACACGCTGCTGTCCGCTACCGCAACATGAATGGCATTGCTGATGGTGACGACATTGAATTTGGTACCAGAAAATTGCTGGACAATGGTGCACCAAATAACCTTGATTCTGACAATGAGTTATTTCAAAAGTAGCTCACATACAAAATTGTAAAGCATGAATTCACTCAAATTATAAAATTTAGCAATTTTTGCCTGTGATTGATGAGTTATGAAATTCTAAATTTTCATTTCAAACTAATTATGCTCTCTCAAATACATGTTCTTCGTACAGTTATGATGTTATCCTTCAACCTTACCTGCACTGAGTGAAATTCCGTTATCAAATTGTCTCAGTATGTGATAGAGGTAGTTTTGGCTCAGTACAAGAGTTTTGTTCAAAAATGTATTATAAAATTCCTCAGTGACAGGATGTTTGATTTCCTGTAATAAAAACCCCAGGGAATGAGTATGGTTAGTTCTGTACACAAACATATTGGACCTGCTAAACAGTCTGGACTTGCCCTAGAAAATAAGGTCAAGGTTTTCCTTGGAAGCTTGTTGAGTTTCAAAATGTTTTGCCAAAGACTTATCAGTAATTTTAAAAAATTTAAAAAGATACTGTTCAAAACAATACAATTTGTACTGAAAGCCTGCTTGCCCTAAGTTTTGTTTAATAACTTCCTGACATAATTTGTCAGATGATGCTGAGTTGTAATTGAGTTCTTCAGATAACAGTCGTTGATCTGATTTTTTTGGAGTTGACCAAGATTACTCTCATCAATGGGTGGTTCTCTGAAGCAGTTTTTGAAAATTTGGACAACCTGTTGTGTTCCTGATGAGATGTCAAAATTGGAACTTTAGGTTTCGGGTTGTAAATTGTATGAACGAAGTAGTGTAAACGTAAGGCATTCATTTCTATGCATTCAGTTTTGAGGATGATCAGTAACTTCACCAAATGTTGAACTGTATGTTATGAAAGCACTATTATACAGCACAACAACTCGGGTTAAACACCACTTTTCATAATCTGCAGCATCAAGTCAACTCTGCTAAGTAGCATTCTCGATTTTTAAGCATCATGTTCTTCAAACCTTTTGATGATTCAGATATAAAAATGCGAAGGCTTGCTTTCGGCTTCCTGTGCTTTGAAACCATTTGAATAGTATTTTTAGTTACAATATTATCAGAAGACAGACAGTTTAATCAAGAAGTAACATATTTGATTTTATTAAAGGTTACAGTTATCAAAGATACATTCTCTAAGTCGTAGACGAATATTTGTTCTATGGGAAATATTTCATATATATATTTTAAAGGTTATACATGATTTCATTTTCTTTTATCGTATTATTCTAAATAGTTTTAATTGCGCTGACTCGTCAAATACAAACTCTATCATCATGCCACTGAAAGAATATGCATTGTTTATGGTTATAGTAATGCCACAAGTTTGCCAGATTTTATCCATGTTTAACACAAGCAGCTTGAGTGCTTCATGGCAGTTCTCAAACGAAACTGCTTGTAAAAGTCGATTTATGTGTTTCTGCAGAATCTTGTATAAAGTGCAAAGAATTTGGGGATGACTGAAATGATGCATTTGCAAATAAGCAGAGAGCGTTGATAACGTCCAGTGTTAACCCTCAAGTTTGACTTCACTAAATTTGTTAATTAATCCATTGTCTGGGGTGGTCTAGAAGATGGTTGGTGTCGCTGAGTAACAAAGTATTAATGTTCCAACAGGTCATTTTGGTTGACTGGTTGCCCTGTAAGACCACTGGACTATGAGTTAAATCATTATTTTTTTCACCAGACACATATATTCGGCACGGAGTTTGTAATTACGCCTTAAATTGTAGGTCACTCAAATGGTCGCAGAAAAGCCTCTTTAAAGCGTAGTATGTTATTGACAGGTGCATGTAGTTGGCAGAGCGTAAAACAACTGAGAGGTTGATTTGTGAAAAGGCATTTAGCATACGTGTGAAACATCGAGTAAAAAGGCTGAACACGGTAAAGGTTACGTGTATTACTCCTTTGCCTAAAATAGTGCCGTTTGTGTAGCTGATGAAATGTGTACATGTATTATTCATATTTGCGGGGCGCTAAGATATATGTTCCAACAACTCTGTAATGTATTGTGTACGTTTATGACATGTTGCATGGTTTTACTGTCACAGTGTCACTATTTCTGTGTTTGAGCCTGACATTACAAGAGTGCTATTTTGTGAGCTTCGTAGCGACAATTTTAAACGTAAGCGCTTAATTAGAAGCAGGTTGTTGCATGGTGTTTGAGCCACGTATGTTTCGCCCCCATTCAGCGTGTGGAAATTAACGACTTCGACCGTGCGTGGCGGTTACTTGACCGGACCCTCGTGAACCATACGGAAATGTCCTTAGCAACATGCCTATCCTCTGTTGAGCCTTCTCTCTGAAGACTTCGTTTGCACAAAGTTAACGAATGATCACAAATGATCTTCGAAATCTTTGTTTCGAGCCTTCAAAATCGCATCAAAACGTAAACAGCCTACCGCTCACGAAAAAAGCTTTTTCACAAAAATCACTTCTTTTGACTACTCTGCTACTATTTCTCAATTTTATTTTCACAAAACACGTTAGGAAAAGGCCTTATGGAAATATTTTGGGCAGGAAGTTTTATTTCCAAAAAGTGAAAATAAGACATGAAATGAAATAGCTGTTTGCCTGGCACGAATTCCCATGGACCGCATTTCGTATGCAAATGACCCTAAGAACGGGACATGCGTAGTTTAGTGAACAATTTCCCTCTGAAACATACGTGGAGCTAGATTAGCTGACATCCAAATATTTGTCCTGTGTTGGACCATCATTGGCTTGGAAGCATCGAGAGGAAGACAAGGCATTAAAGGATGCTAAAATATTAATGTAAGGAAGTGAAGATCCATTAATGGAAGGGATATATTCATGTACTGTGTATCGTATGTCAACTTGGCGCTACTTAAAGTGTTAACATTAAAACTGAATAAGTGAACTGGATTTTATGATGGTGCCAATTATATTTAAAAATGAGTTTGTGAAACTGTTCTTTTGTCCTGTATCACCATCCCCGGAAGTAAATGGAGTGTGTCCATGTGTGGATTATGGGTACGGGTACCTCTCTTGTGGCTCGTTTGTACAGTTTAGGGAGAGGGAAAAGATGCATTGAAGAAAGTTGTCAAACATTACTACTATCGACAGATTATGGGCCTATTTTCTCCGTTTTGGGGGGAGGGGGGCTGTTCAATTACTCCCAAATTATAGCCTGATGCCAATTGTGCGAATTTCCAAGAAACGCAGATTGTGCGCAAATTGAACGAGTGCGCTATCGCATTGCGCCTGAGCTATAGCGAGGATCGAGATCAGTTTTACTGGTTCAGTTTTGTTTGCTCAGTCCTTTGCGAAGAAGAAGTGATCTTGTTAGTGTTGAGCATTAGGCGAAATATACCTGATGACCAAACCGTTGTCCGTAATTAGCGTCCTTAAATAATGATGGTCAAATTAGGACCCATCCTTATGTCCATCATGTTTGCAAACAACTGCCACTGGCCTAATCGTATCCCCCTACGTTTGTCTCGTCTGTCCGTCGCCCTGTCCAGACCGTACCTGCTGCCAAAAGATGCCCATCGTGAAGCCATCACGACATCAACAATGCCCGAGATTATCAATTAGCGTTATGACGGATTAGGGTCTCTAAATCCCTTCACAGAGGGAGGCGCATAAAGGCTGACGACACCATTATTAGATACTTTACTGCCGCGTACAATGCCCGACATGACAGCGATCGCGTGCCCAGCATGCCCGTGATTGGCAGCTTTCTTGCGAAAGTAGGCCTACATTCTGCGGGCCAGTTGGCCGGCCACAAACAACGGGGGTCTTGTGGATGCGCGGTTAAAACTACTTCCATGGCCACATTCGCCAATTCGAAAATTGACTGGATCGACTTGGGGTCCCAAATTTGAACAAAAAAGCACAACTTTCTAATTAACGGCTTCAAGGGATGCGTCTGAAGATCTGGAGGTGAGGTTTAAAAAAAAATTGCTTTTTCTTAATTTTTACAAATTTTATGAAGTACCTTCCCCATCGACAACCTGTTACCAAACGCATGGAGCTGGAGAAAAAAATAATGCCTTGAATTAACGTTTAAAAAAAAAAGACGCTGTCACCTTATAAGAGTTGACATAGTCTCACCATATTGAAAATGGTCTGAAAAGATGACGACTTGACTTCAAGTGCTTCATTAGGTAGAAACCGATTAATGTTTTACTGGTTGTCTTCCCCCACAGGTTTAAAAACAAAAAATGCAGTGCTTCTTTGTCATTCAATTCTGTCATGGGAAGAGTGGGTTAATCAATACCAAAGCAAAGGGGGTTCATCTGGTCCAAAACAAAGAGGTTCGTGCTCACTTCCCCCCCCCCAAAAAAAAACACCACAGAAGTTAGGGTACTTGCAGCATAACGAGTGACGTCGTCCAGGCGTCACTGACAGTCCCATCACCGCTTCAAGATCTCAGTGTCCTTAGTCTTTCAGACGTCTCATTTAACAGAAACAGATAGTTTGGAGAACAAGAGAATGGGGATTGGTTCTGAACTTTTTATCCGTTGTAATGAGAGTTTCTAATCAGGCGAGGACTTTATAATGAGTTGTCTCACGTCAGTACGGAAAATAATGAGGTTCGCGTAGGGTTTCCACCAATCTCCTGACGTTTCGGGCTGCGTAGTTTGCCTCCTAGACCAATCAGGAGGCGCCTCACACGCGCTGAGCCAAGGCTCAAAAGACCGCAAACTCCGCAGCGAAACGTCAAATCGGGCATCCGAGCCGAAGCATTTCGGAGACCGTACCTCTGAAAGCCTCGTTGACATCTTTCGCCGGTCTAATTACACTGTGGACTTCTGCTTCGAATGTGAGTACCTTTTAGTTATCCTGATCCTGAACAGGTTTCATTCGATGTTTACCCTTCCCATGGGATGCACTTTTCTGAAATGTTTATCAAGTTTCTGAAATTCGACTAAATTGCCTACATCCCATATTCAATGTTACACTTTGTGATTTTTTCAATTAAGAACAGAAACAATTTGAAAGACTTTGATTAGGAATAAAAGCAGGAGAAAGCATGGGATTTGTTGAAATGGAACAAGAATCGTAATACTATACATTGTACACGTGAAAAATTGAGGTTCGCACTTTTCCTCATTTTTTGGTCCATAGCCTAATCATTCCAGCAAACGGATTGCAGTAAGTTGTTGTCTTTTTTCATGTCCGTTTTCCGGAAAAGTGCAGCCTGCCAGAAGATGCAGAGCACAGAGCATATTCCGGCAGCCCGCACGCCGAGCTACCACAGCCTGACCGGGCTGAGTTACACTGAACTCTGGAGTTCAGTCCACGCGACTTACCACCACCCTGCTCCTACTCCCAACTACCACACTGGGTCCTTCCCTGGGGAACAACATCAGCAGCTTCACGAGTTGTCCCCGGCGACTGGCGCCTCTGTCGCAGCCAGCGATGCCTGCGCCGACATGGAGCTCTCAGGCAGCGGGTCTCAGTGGAGTGGCGACTCCAGCGTGAACGGAGGGAAT